CCAGGGTAATCTAGTCCAATCCCCTGCACAATGCAGGAAATTCACAAATACCTCCGGGTTAAAGCGGTTTTGAGCCGGAAAGCAACGGCTGGGGATGGGAGGCAGATGTTGATCGTGTGATCGCACAGCTAAAATCTGTTTCTGAGGTGGGCTGAAAGCGGACTAAACGGCCCGTCTGACCGCACACTGTGATTCTGTGATTGTTGGAGGCGAGACTCAAGCAATGCAGCCAATGGATAGGGACGGATTCTGAGTGACACACCAGGGCGCCAACCAATTCCTGAGTGTGTGGAATGTTCTAGAGAAGTGCCACCACCATTCGGCTTTTATATTTAAGGGAGATTGGTTTTATGTTGTGAGCCTCCCTGAGCCCTTTGCTGGGGTAGGGCGGGGTATAAATTAAATAAATAAAAATAAAAATTCCCATGGCTGCAACGCAATTATCATCTTTACCTTTTGCACCTCCGCAGGCTTTTGGGATTGGGCAGCGATTCGGGGAGTTTCTTGCACTCGGCGCAGAATTTGAACGTGTCCTCCATCTTCTGGAACATCTCGAAATAGGACCGGATGCCGAATTCGGCGCCCGGTTTCTTGCCTTCCATGGCAGACCTGCAAAGGAGGCACCCGAGCAAAAGAGCATGGAGGAGAATGGACAAACAGCCTCCCCGCATCTCAATGCAGCTTAAAAATCCCAGAGAATAGCTGCAAATAAAGTAGTGCGAACCGGGGGTCCATAGCTGTGTCGGCCATTTTGGCTCACCTGTATTCATCGTAGCTCTTCATGTTGAGGTTTTTTAGGATGACCTGCGACAGGCCGGGGACGTTGCTGTCCATAGCCTGAAATCCCAGAGAGTCCATATTGGGTCCTTTGACAACAGGGGTCTCCGTGAAAGCGTTCTTGGATCCGCTTTGGACTTGGGCAGGCGTGTTCTTCTTCCGGTGAGCCATCTTGACGGGGTCGCTAGAACCGGATCGGAAACAAGTGAACACCCTGCCTGTCCACAAGGGACATTTCATAACTTCCAGCTTTATCTCATGGGAAAGTTAAAATGCCAGTCTATATTGTATGGCACTGAAGCCTCTGATTCTAAAGGCTGAGCTGATGAGATATGGAATATCCACAAACATTTCAACTGCTTGGGGAACAGCGGCACCAATCAAATCTGATATTCCAGATCCTTTTGAAAAGAATGTTTTTGAATGGTGCCTGCGGATGTTAGCAACTAAGTAGCGTTGAAAAGGCAGACAGCAAGCGGAGAGTTTCTAGCTAGTTTGCTAAAACGAAGGGGGGGGGCAGCACTCAGCGTTTTGACCCCACTGTCACATACTGACGGCTGCTAGTTTCACTGGCTTTAAAAGGGGATAAGACAAATTCATGGAGGACCAAAAAAAGACCAAAAAAAAGAGACAAATTCGTGGAGAACAGGTCCAGTGACCGCCATTAGACACAGTGACTGAATGGAGCCTCCATGTTTAGGGGCAGGATACCTCTGAGTGTCAGTGCTGGGGGAGGGGCAAGAGCAAGGGGGATGCTTGTAGGCCTTCCAAAAATATTGAGGTGACCACCTTTCTAAATAGGGGGAATGGACCACGATCTGCTACAGGGAATTTGCTCTTACATTGTTATGCCCAAGTTGCTCCCTGGCTCATGGTCTTAGTGTATATTTTCAAATATTATCGACTTATTGTAAGCCTCTAGTGTGCTCCCTACCACCTCCCAAAGAAAAGGCAATTAAAAACGGTAGCACCGCTTGTGGAATTTCTTGTCGGTCAGGGAAGCCAGGTGCACACTTGACACGTACCTGGAATCCTTGAAGGCATCGCCAGACTGAGTCAACAAGTGTTGGGGGGAAATGAACAGAGGATTCTCTAACAAGGAGATAACATTTTACAATGGCTTGCAGGACAGAGAGAGGAAAGAAGAAGGAGGAGGAGGAGGAGGCAGTGGGAGAGGGAGAGGAGGAAGAAGATGACGAGGAGGAGAAGAGGAAGAAGACCACGAGGAGGGAGAGGGAAAGGGAGGGGAAGGGGAAGGAGAAGAGGAGGAGGAGGAGGAGGAGAAGAGCTGGTTTTAATACCCTGCTTTTCTACCCTAACTCCTGCCAACCTAGCAGTTCGAAAGCAAGAAAATGCAAGTAGATAAATAGGTACCGCTTCGGTGGGAAGGTCACAGCATTCCGTGCGCCTTGGTGTTTAGTCATGCCGGCCACATGACCACGGAAACGTCTTTGGACAGCGCTGGCTCTTCGGCTTTGAAACGGAGATGAGCACCGCAACCCTAGAGTCGGATTCGACTGGCTTTCGAGCAAGGGAACCTTTCTACCCTAAAGAGTCTGAAAGCAGCTTACAATTACCTTCCCTTCCTCTCCCCACAAGAGGAGGGCGGGATTTGGGGAGGGGAGGGGCCTCCGCATGGCACAACGCCAGAGAGCCTACCCTTCAAATGCAGCCCTTTTCTCCAGGGGAGCTGATCTCTGTCAGCTGGAGATCGGTTGTAAACGCGGGAGATCCCCAGGCCCCACCTGGAGGCTGGCAACCCTCAAAGGTGGCCTAGCAGCATTCTAGTTACTCCCTCTTAACGTGTGAACAGAGACTTGTGCGGCAGTGCAAGTTCTCCATTTTCATCAGCAGGAGTCCATTTTCAATTTTCTGTGGTGCTGCCTTTGAATGCACAGAGTCTGTGTCATTTTGACGTCTCGGCGGCCTCCGCCTCGGCGGCCTCCGCCTCGGCGGCCTCCATCAGTGGGAAAGTCGGATGTAAATCAATTGGAAGGTAAGCATTTATCGGTGGTGAAGCCCCTACATCCAAAAGTGGTACAGTCCCAGCCAATATTCCCTCTAAGCGGTGGAGTCTTGTGAGCAAAAATTCAACTTGGTGAACTACCGGCATTAAAATTGTGAGCAAGTGATTTGGCTGCTGCATAAATCAGTCTGCTCTGGAGCCCTCCTTCCTGAGCTGAGGCAAAAATGGGTGAGCCGGAAGCTAAAAAACTATGAGCTAGCTCACACTAACTCAGCTTAGAGGGAACACTGGTCCCAGCTAGTGTTTATTGAGATATATCTCTAGGTAATAGAGGTAGCAAGCAGTTACTAGAACGGTTTGATCTGTTTGACAGTCCTAGCTGTCATGCTAGTGATTAAGTAATTACAGCCAGGTGTTATACTAGCAGGTGTTCTCTATCAGGCATTGTTAGAGTTGGTAATTGATTCACCTTGTTAGTGATTGGCTGGGTTTAGTATATTAGCTATCAGCTTGATAAGCTGGGTCGGGGACTTAGTCTCTCAAGCTAAGGCATGGTATGCTGTATGATAGCCTGTATATCTCTGTGTATATATTCACCATTATATTGATATAAACTTTCTATGCACCTTCATCACCAGTCGGTCTCCAGCTTCTTATTTACTACACCCAATAGTGTTCCCTCGAAGCTGAGTGAGTGTGAGCTAGCTCACAGCTTTTTCACTTCCGGCTCTCCCAGCTTCCTTTCCTAGGTGTTCGGAAGCCCCAAAGGCACAGGGGATCCTCCCCAATTCTTCCTTCGTGTGCATCCCCCCCCACACACACACCACTTTCTTTTTCATCAGTCTGTCCCGGCACAGAATGTTCGCCGGGTGAAAACGAGCCGCCCCAAAGTCAGCATTCTCCGCCCGGCTAACAGGGTTGCCCCCTTTCTCCGCACCTGCTTCCATAAATCATCCGCTTATACGATACCCCGGGGTAGGGAATCTGCCTTGGAGCGCGGCAGATGCTGGGCCCTGAGCCAGAAGGGACTGCCTGTATTCACAACTGATATCCATTTGATAGCATGCCTGTAATCCGACGGTTTGTCACTCTTTACATGAGGACTCATGAGGCCCCACCCCCGTTGCAAACTGCAGGCGTTATGAGGCTTCACCGGAGCCTCGGAACCAGTTTCCAGTGTTGGCTGTTCTTTGTTTATTTAGATTTATATCCCGCCCTCCCAGCCAAGACCGGCTCAGGGCAACCCAAAAGCAGAATAAAACGTACACATAAATTTAAATAAATTTCTGGAATTGGGTGACTTAAGAAAGGGTGTATCTGAGCGTGCACAGAGTGCTGTTCTTACACTGTGGGATAACCAGGCCCATAGCTACAGTGGGGCTTTGGGGGGCTCTCTCCCCTTTCTTAAGGGCACGTCCTCACAAACATTTCTCCTGTGAATGCTTTTTTCAATCATGTTAAAACATTTTTTAAAAAGGCATGTGCTCCTTTAAGGAGAGTGGGGTGCCGTAGTTGACTAACTCCCTCACTGAGCTAGGGGGTTGGAGTAGGTGACCTCTAGGATGACTTCTGACTCTATGTCAAGAAACTGGTCTCCTTTAAGAGAGTTTTTCTGCTTGCTGCTTCTTGTCCTTACAGCCTGAGAGGACTGCTGATTGGCTCGGTCCCTTTAAGCTTGTATTTCAGCAGGGTTCATTTCCCGCTTGTATTTTGTATGTATTCTGGATGCCCTTTAATGTAATAACGCACTTTGTCGTTTGCAATGTCAGTTTATACACTATCACTATAAACATTTTTGTCAAAAACAGATTCCGTTTACATTCTTCAAGGTTGCTTTTGTATTTCTGGCTGGTTATATTGTTGGCAACTTTCTCCTTGCTCGTAGCCCGCCTTGGACAACGTGAAGTCAAGGAATGGGTCTTCCCGGTTACCTTCATCCCTGGTCCTCCCCTGGAGCTCCCTCCTCATGAGAAAAGGTGAACAAACTTGAGGCTTTTCGTTAAGAAAGAGGACGGGTAAGAAGGGACGTTTATAAAATGACCCATGGTACAGAGAAAGTGGATAAAACGTACTTTCCCTCCCTTATAATTCAGGAACAAAGGTTAAGGCAGATTAAGGGCAAATGAAAGAAAACTCTTCTGCTTGCTGTGTGGAACTCCCTGCCTCAAGATGAAGACAAGTTGATAAAACGTACTTTCCCTCCCTTATAATTTAGGAAGTGAGGGGCTAAGTTCAGGACAGACCGGTTAAGGTTAAGGACAGACAAAAGGAAACTCTTCTTCATGCTGTGTGGAACTTGTGGAACTCACTGCCTCAAGATGAAGACAAGTGGATAAAACGTACTTTCCCTCCCTTATAATTTAGGAACTGAGAGGCTAGGTTTTAGGAAGTGAGGGGCTAAGTTCAGGACAGACCGGTTAAGGTTAAGGACAGACAAAAGGAAACTCTTCTTCATGCTGTGTGGAACTTGTGGAACTCACTGCCTCAAGATGAAGACAAGTGGATAAAACGTACTTTCCCTCCTTTATAATTCAGGAACTGAGGGGCTAGGTTTAGGACAGACAGGTTAAGGTTAAGGACAGACAAAGGTTAAGGTAGGTTAAGGACAGACAAAAGGAAACTCTTCTTCATGCTGTGTGGAACTTGTGGAACTCACTGCCTCAAGATGAAGACAAGTGCACCAGTAAACACCCTGAGTGGCCCTGCTACGATTTCAACTGGCATCTGTCTCCCCTAAACCAAACGGCACGTCCTTGGATCCCCCCCCCCTTCCCCAATTCAAAGCACCACGAAGGTGTTTCTTTTTAAGTAAGCGGGCTCCATTCGGAGCTAGCGGCCCCCAGTTGTCAACGTTCACGACGGGCCTTTCCCTGCTGTCAACACCCCCGGAGAAACGTCATAAAACTCGAAAGAGCCTAAGACATAAGAGCATTTCCTCACTCCACAGGGCACAAAAACTAGATATACAGCACACAATTGGCAGAGTGCGATGACAAGATCTTTATCCGAGCGTATCAAAGGAAAGCCCTTTGCTTAATTAACGAGGCGGTGGAACGCCGAGAGGCATGTAATGAAGCAGAGACGGTGTCCTTAACACGGTCTCAAAAGTGTCCTACAGGAGTATCTGATGTGTAGAGGATGTGCTTTGCAGTCAATCGAGAGAGAGAGAGAGTCTAAGAACTTGCCAAACTTTTGGTGATTCTGCATCTAGCATTGGTCCACATTTTATCAACTGGGAGGAAGATAAAAGTAAAGGTAAAGGTAAAGGTCTCCCTTGCTCGAAAGCCAGTCGAATCCGATTCTAGGGTTGCGGTGCTCATCTCCGTTTCAAAGCCGAAGAGCCAGCGCTGTCCGAAGATGTTTCCGTGGTCATGTGGCCAGCATGACTCAACACCAAGGCGCACGGAACGCTGTTACCTTCCCACCGAAGTGGTACCTATTTATCTACTTGCAATTTCTTTCTTTCGAACTGCTAGGTTGGCAGGAGCTGGAACTAAAGATGGAAGCTCACTCCATCATGCGGCACCGAGCTCACTCCGTCTTGCGGCACACTCGGGTCTCGAACTACCGACCTTCCACAGCCTGCAGTTCAGCCCAAAACCACATTCAAATACCATCAGGGCAACTCCGTACTGACCGCAGAGCCACCCCTGGATGGCCACAAACAGCCATAAATCTATGCCGAAGGCACCATTAAATCCCGCGATCAAAGAACTCAAAAGTGCCATGGAGTGTGGAAGCTACTAGAACACCTGATAATCAAAGGAAGCGAAAGCAGCATGCAATGCAGAGGGGAATTTCTGTTCCAGTGTGGGTTTTGTTAAACAACAGAGGGAAAAGCCAAGGCAGAATCAGCCTTTGTTGGGGTGGGGGAGATAAATGCAAACTCCACCGCCCGGAATTGAATCAATCTGTTCCTTACAAGGAGAGCTGGAAGCTCTCCAATGAACGTCTGCAGGCCAGGAAACTCACGGCAGATCTCAAGTGCACAAAGCGCTTTCGAGAATCCGCTTCAAGCTACAGAAGCATCATAGAGCAGGAAGGGGTCTTAGAGCTCATCTAGACTGACCCCCTCCTCAGTGCGGAAAGCTCAAACAAGAGCATTTTCGGCAGAGGGTTGTGAGACACACAGAGACATGTTCTCCCAGCCAGGTAACGCTTTCCACTGTCAAAGCGCTCTTTGTGTTAGGACCTTTCTTCTAAGGTACAGTCAAAATCTACCCTCCTGTGGACTGAACAAATATCTATCCCTTGGGAATTAGAAGCATTAGAGAAGGGGCAATTTGCCTTGAAATGTCAGATCCTGCACCTTTTGGCTCAAATGCCGATGTGAGAGAGAGAGAGAGAAGAGATTGGATTTATACCCCGCCCTTCACTCAGAGTCTCAGAGCAGCTTACAATATCCTTCCCCTCCCCACAACAGACACCCTGGGAGGTAGGTGGGGGTGAGAGAGCTCTCTCGAGGACTGCCCTTGAGAGAACAGCTCTGAGAGAACTTGCGACTGACCCAAGGTCACTCCAGCAGCTGCGTGTGGAGGTGTGGGGAATCAAACCCGGATCTCCCAGATTAGAGTCCGCGCTCCTAACCATTAAACCAAACCGGTGAGAGCTCCGTAAGGCTAAGCGGCACTGAGCGACGGCCACAGGGACAATGGCTGAGCCATGCTCTAGGAATGACCGTCCGTGCCTAATGCTCTTCAGATCTGGTCTTTGAATCTTGTGCAAGCGCTCCTAACCATTAAACCAAACCGGTGAGAGCTCCGTAAGGCTAAGCGGCACTGAGCGACGGCCACAGGGACAATGGCTGAGCCATGCTCTAGGAATGACCGTCCGTGCCTAATGCTCTTCAGATCTGGTCTTTGAATCTTGTGCAAGGCAGTGTGGCATTTTGTCTGCACAGACCCCGAGGGTCATCTAGTCCAACCCCCTGCACAATGCCGGAAATTCACAGCCACTTTCCCCCTCCCCCACTCCCCAGTGATCCCTGGTGAATGCCCAGAGGAAGGCAAAAACCTCCAGAATCCCTGGCCCAATCTGGCCTGAAGAAAAATTCCTTCCTGACCAGTGTTCCCTCTAAGCTGAGTTAGTGTGAGTTAGCTCACAGTTTTTTAGCCTCTGGCTCAGACATTTTTGTCTTAGCTCAGGAAGGATGGCTCCAGAACACACTAATTTATGCAGTAGCCAAGTTGCTTGCTCACAACTTTAATGCCAGTAGCTCACAAAGTAGAGTTTTGCTCACAAGACTTCACAGCTTAGAGGGAACATTGTTCCTGACCCCAGAGTGGTGATCAGCATTTCCGTGGGCGTGTAAGAACTAAGCCCTGATGCAACCCTTCCTGCCCTCCCTCTCATGATCTGCCCAAGTTCACAGAATCTGCATTGCTGTCAGATGGCCGTCTAGCCTCTGTTTGAAAACCTCCCAAGAAGAAGAGCCCGCCACCTCCCGAGGAAGCCTGTTCCACTGAGGAACTGCTCTGTCAGGAATTTCTTCCTAAACTTTAGCCAAAAACTCTTCTGATTTAATTTCAACGTGTTGGTTCCGGTCCGACCTTCTGGGGTAACAGAACAAAACTGCGGCACCCTCTATATGGCAGCCCTTCAAGTACTTGACGATGGTTATCATATCACCTGTCCGCCGTCTCTTCTCCAGGCTAAACATACCCAGCTTCTTCAACTTTTCCGCAGATGACTTAGTCTCCACTCCAGTGGCTTAGTTTCCAATGGCTTAGCGGCCCTTGATCGTTCCTGCACTCACTGAGGGAAGCCAGGCACACCAGTACGCACAGTGCAGGCAGATACACCAGACCCCGCAGGGCAGGAAGACAGGTGAGCAGTTTTGAGAGAAGATCGGGGGAGATCGGACGTTGTGAGAACTGGTATTTGTGGTCTGAAAACCCGAGAACTATAGACAGCCCTTGTGGGAGACTTCGAGAAAGAAAGGCAGAGGAAAATGGAGGTGGATCGGGACCTGGGATTTGGGTCCTCTCCAGCAAGAGATACGCGCGGGGGGGAGGCAGAGATACTCAAATGTCAGTCGCCAAGATGATAAGCCAGGCTGTGCCAACTCGGATGAGGTAGCAATGCTATTCCAGTCTTCCGCCTGCCGCCAAGCCAGCCAATCGAAGTGATAACATACATACCCTGCAGTGTTTCAGGGACACTGTTGCGTACTTTTTTAATTATTATTTTAAACAAAGAATCACTCTCCACTCCACGCACAGACACAAAACGCACTGTCAGGGGCTTTTCTCCCCCGGCCACACCCTGTTATCGGTTGGTCTGTACCCGCCAGCCCCGATCTAGTTTTTGAAGCTGGGTGTCTTAGTAAAGAGGACATAATTCACAGCCAACTTATGGTGACCCCAGCCAGGGGTTTTTGAGGCAAGCGAGAAGCGGAGGTGGTTGGCCATCGCCTTCCTCTACAGAGCCTTCCTTGGTGGTCTCCTTTCCAAGTACCGACCCTACTTTGCTTACAACTTAAGGCGACCCCAGCAAGGGGCTTTCGAGGCAAGTGAGAAGCAGAGGTGGTTGGCCATCGCCTTCCTCTACAGAGCCTTCCTTGGTGGTCTCCTTTCCAAGTACCGACCCTACTTTGCTTACAACTTAAGGCGACCCCAGCAAGGGGCTTTCGAGGCAAGTGAGAAGCGGAGGTGGTTGGCCATTGCCTTCCTCTGCAGAGCCTTCCTTGGTGGTCTCCCTTCCTAGTGCCGACCCTACTTGGCTTACAATTTCACACCACCCCAGCAAGGGGCTTTCGAGTGAGAAGCAGAGGTAGTTGGCCATTGCCTTCCTCTGCAGAGCCTTCCTTGGTGGTCTCCCTTCCTAGTACCGACCCTACTTGGCTTACAATTTCACACCACCCCAGCAAGGGGCTTTCAAGTGAGAAGCAGAGGTAGTTGGCCATTGCCTTCCTCTGCAGAGCCTTCCTTGGTGGTCTCCCTTCCTAGTACCGACCCTACTTGGCTTACAATTTCACGCCACCCCAGCAAGGGGCTTTCAAGGCAAGGGAGAAGCAGAGGTGGTTGGCCATGGCCTTCCTCTGCAGAGCCTTCCTTGGTGGTCTCCCTTCCAAGTACCGACCCTGCTTAGCTTACAACTTAAGGCGACCCCAGCAAGGGGCTTTCGAGGCAAGTGAGAAGCGGAGGTGGTTGGCCATTGCCTTCCTCTGCAGAGCCTTCCTTGGTGGTCTCCCTTCCTAGTACCGACCCTACTTGGCTTACAATTTCAGGCCACCCCAGCAAGGGGCTTTCGAGGCAAGCGAGAAGCAGAGGTGGTTGGCCATCGCCTTCCTCTGCAGAGCCTTCCTTGGTGGTCTCCCTTCCAAGTACCGACCCTACTTGGCTTACAACTTAAGGCGACCCCAGCAAGGGGCTTTCAAGGCAAGGGAGAAGCAGAGGTGGTTGGCCATGGCCTTCCTCTGCAGAGCCTTCCTTGGTGGTCTCCCTTTCAAGTACTGACCCTGCTTAGCTTCTGAGATTTGATGAGATGCTATACTACGCTGCCTTCCCTCCCCATAACTCTTTACAAACAATTGGAATGCAAATGTTCAATTGCATGCCCTGGCTCCAACTAAATTGCAGCTATTCCAACATAACTCAACAGTCTTTGCTCTCTGGAGCTTGCTTTTGAAGTAGAGCCACAGACCGCTGTTTTGAATCCACTTGTCGGTTAGTTCGGGGCTCACAATCCCTCGGTTCAACATATGCATTACTTTTCTAAAAGAAATGGTAAATATCTACCTCTGCATTGGCCAGAGAATTGAGATTTATGCTGTGCCTGACCTCAGGGAATGAACTTTTAGAGGACCCGGAGGCAAGTACATGTCTCTTCTCACTAACCACATTTTAAAAAGGTGTCCCCGGCTTTTTCCAAAAGGCGAAACACAGACAGCAATCGCCCTGAAGAAGGGAGATAAAACGGGGATAAACTTTGAAAAATGGGACGACGCAGAGGACGGTGATTCCTAAAAATAAATTGGGGCTTTCCCCCTAAAAATTCAAGTATTTGAATTAAGGATTGTCCTTTATATTTGCAAAAAAATGCCCATTAGACGATGTTTTGGTAATTTAACCTTTTATTCTTTTCCCCTAATCGTTTTTTTAAAATTCTGTATTCCTTAAAAAGTTCAAAATAAAAATTACCACAAATAAATAAATTGGGGGCTCGTTGTTGACTTCAAGAAACCCATAAAATTATTTTTAAAAATAAACTGGGGCTTGTTATGGACTTCAAGAAACCCACAGGGAGATCGTTGGTAGAGGGTTGCGAGCGGAGGACACGGAGGAAGTAGAGGGGCGAATTATGGCGTCATCAGTCAAACCTCTGGGGAAGTTCCGAGAAAGTCAAGGGATTCCCAGATGGGACATACTGAAAGTCTAGGTGGCAAAGAGGGCCGACTCACCTGTTTGAGCCTTTGCTGTCTTCCGCTGTTCAGACGCTCCCGGCTTGCCTTCTGCTTCCCACGGGAGAAATGCGACCAATCACCTCTGGCTCTAAGAATATCCTGCCAGTTTTCAGATCTGGACAAGTCTGTCTCAGTGGACAGAGGGACGTCAAGACCCTGAGGCAGCTAAACAGCCTTTCGGCAGCCCAAAAGCTGCTGGCTGAACTGTAACGGGACGTCTGCCTCCTGCAGGGAAATGCAGGCTTCTGCAGCCAAATGTCCTTTTCGGGCCCAGCTTCCTAAAGGGAAGTAATCCCGTAGAACAAAACAAAGTTCGAGTCCAGTGCGGTGCTCCCTCTAAGCTGTGGAGTCTTGTGAGCAAAAATTCTACTTTGTGAGCGCCTGGCATTAAAGTTGTGAGCGAGTGATTTGGCTACTGCTATATTATTATATCTCCCATGCAAGGTTGCTGATGGTAGTGCATTGAATCTTGCTAGTGGAAAGGCTCTGTGCTGCTGTGGTGCTTGTATGTCAGATAGGTATGGGGCCATTCGGCCTACCGTGCGGGGAATCTCAAAGTTCAGAGGGGAACAAGATTTGTTGGCTAAGCTTTTACAGCCTTTGTGTTTCAGTGTCAAGGACTCTGCGTTTAATCATCTGAAAATCATCTGAAAAGAAGGGAGCATAAGCAGTGAATCCAATGGGATGCCCATGGCCAGTGTTCCCTCTAAGCTGAGTTACTGTGAGCTAGCCCACAGTTTTTTAGCCTCCGGCTCACACATTTTTGTCTTTGCTCGGGAAGGATGGCTTCAGAGCAAACTACGGTAATTTATGCAGTAGCCAAATCGCTCACTCACAACTTTAATGCCGCCAGCTCACAAAGTAGAATTTTTGCTCACAAGACTCCACAGCTTAGAGGGAACATTGGACCAGACCCATTGAAACATTATGGTGTTTTTTAAAAAATAATACTGTTATGGGGTCAGTTAACTGTCTGCAGAAGTCAGTGCAGGGCAAGTATTGCGCAGAATAAATTGAATGTGAGACTGTGGCCCCAAAAGGTGCAGCAGGAC